CTGTGACAATGCCCTCCCCCCCCCCCCCCTCTCTCTCTCTCTCTCTACGATAAATGCTCGATAAATTATACTTAGACTTCACAGATACTAAAGTAGGACGTGTGTCTTTGCGCTCGGCGCCAAGCGGTTTCGACCGGACTCGAAAAGAATCACTGACCGAGCAGTTTTGCACAGTGCGCGGGGAGGAATGCGCTCTCATCGAGTGTAAAGCTTCACATTATATACTTAAGAACGCTACACATATATTTTCACATGTCGACGAGGGATATTGTTTTGTACTTTTTTAAAGATGTATTTTATATAAGGATTTGAGGGGATCGTGTTTGTATCGGACGGATTTCAGGGAGCAGTGTGTGAGAGCTTGTACATTTTTGAAATACGATAATACTGTATTTTTCTATCTACGGATATACATATATACACACACACACATACACGTACACTCACGCGATTATAATTACGGGGAGCGAACACGCGATGTGTGTGTCCCGCGCTCTTACAAAACGACGACTCGCTTCAGTCGTAATCCCCGGTCATTACTCGTAACAATAAATACTTCTAAGCATACGTCTCTCGTAGCTCAAACTTCTAATTGCGCGCTGGTACACCGGCTCCTCGCGCGCTACGGCATTATACCCGGAGAAGTAAGAAAAGCCGCATGATACACATACGTAGCAATTGTAACATAGTACAATCAAATGATGTGCAATATTTGTATCTTAATAATATAATTTTTATAAGCCGCTTCTTTCGGAGACAGATATATATGTATATTTACATATTATTGTATTGAATTACGGTATATAATATATCTGTATATACATATACATATGTGTGTATAGTCACTTGGCGATGTAAAAAGAAGAAAAGAGGTGGTGTCCGTTTATTCTCTGCTCCCACGATATCAATTTCAGATAAATGTTCCACCTCAGACTAGCGGACTCAGGTACGACGTTGATGATGATGATGTTAGAGTGTAGTTTGCAAATAACTTCGCTAAAAGTGTGAATTAGACTCGAGACGGCGCGAAGAATCATTTGTGTAGAGTTCAGCTTGAAATCCTCTGTGAAAATATGCGAGTTTGCATGCGTTGCCAGCGATTTATGTGCGAGCGAATCATCATTGTTCAACATCGAGGTTCTCTCTCGAACGCTTCCTTCTGTTATCAGTGGTACCGAAACCGAGAGCTTTCACGACTGTGTGCGTCTCGTTTCCTATTAACAGAGATATTCTGCCTGACTAATCGCGATGCATGCATGCGCTTTCTGCACTGCGCGTTGTCGTCCTGCTGTTGTTCGCTGTAGATTCTTGCATGTAACATAACGGGTCTGGTACTGCCAACATTTCTCTGATAGATAACACAAGCTGGTTTACATTGCATCGGATACGTAGCATATATGTAGCATACATGTTGCTGTGTTACGTTACAGGCGTTAGGAATCAGGCTTTTACTTTTAACATCGTCAAGGCCGAGCCGGCCGATCAGATGCCGCCATTTGGGGTAAATACAAACGCAGCGTGCGGCTTCACCCTGCAGTCTGTAACGAAGAAGGAATCCAATACCTTGCACAATTCGAGGTAAGGCGACGGCGCAATCGAGGAATCAGGAAATCCGTATGTGAAAGGGAGCAATATTCAAATCGAGAGATATATCGCTCGAAAGTCTGTTTAGTCCATGTGTTTCGGTCCTCAGTTCGGTGACCTTTGTTGGCGAAACACAAATAATCCAATGTTATTGTATAAGAGTCAAACTGAGGATCGAAACGTCCTGGACTTGAACAGTCCAAGTTTCCAAGGGGAATCGACAACTCGAGGGGCCGGATTCGCAAATATTTATACTTGCTTATTCGCACCGTTCCAGAATCAAAGTGTCTCCCGGTCGAACACCGTCCCCGATGGAGTACAGCAACGCTTCTTACAGTCCGCAGCAGCACTCGCCGCAGTATCAGCCAAATATGCAACCGACAGTACAAAATGAACCGACCGACCGGCTGTCGCCATTCGGAGGTGCGGCTGTAGCAGGATCTTACACTCTGCCTCTGTCCGTGATGAATCACAAGCAGGGGAATATCATGCCGGGTAATCTAAGGTAATACAGTTCAATCGGGACCGAGGGATTGGTCTGCGTACAATTGAGGATTCACGTGAGAAGCGTCCACGTTTGACGTGTCTATACAATTAGGCCGTAACGTTTCAGAACTCAAGTATCCCCGGGACGAACACCGTCCCCCATGGAATATAATACCGCGTACAGCCCGTCTGACGCGCAATCGTCGCAGTATCAACCGAATATCTCGCCGATGATGCAAATGCCGACGACAAGCGCCACTCTGTACTCGTACGCGCCGGAACAAGCTCGATTGCAGCAAACGGAGCCGAACCTATTTACGTTGGGGAAGGCTCAGGAGAGCATGAGCCACGCAACGGAGAGTCAGGGTATGCCGGTACTGCAGCCAATAGAATTAAACAATGCCAGTAAGTTTATTTTAAGCGAAACTTAATCTTCGTGCAATGCAGCGGACCTGAAAGTCTCTTGGTCGACCGTTCACACCGATCGTTCGTATCTCTGTAATTGCCGTGTGTGCAACGTTGCAGGCACCGCAGCAACTCCGGATGTAACCAGACTGTTGGACATGGACACCCAGCAGCTTAATTTCGACTGGCCCCCGCTCGATTCCAACGACTTGGCGGACTTTGGGCTGTTGTCCGCGAATCTGTCCAGTGGATTGTCTCTCACTGACGGTATACAAGTAGGTATCGGCGTTTCGCACACGTCGACTGCATACGCATTGTTTTAACACATTGTGTTAAATGAAAGAGAGCGATATTCAAATCGGTAAATATATACCGTTTGAAAATCCGTCTAAGACCGGACGTTCTGCTCCTCAATTCGACCCTTATCGGTGAACACAAATAATCTTATGTAAATAATCTAACGTCGTTGTATAAGATTGTTTGTGTTCATCGATGAGAGTCAAAATGAGGATCGAGACGTTCTGTGTGATTCATGCGCAATTATAAATCTTCGAGGTAAATAAACAAAGATAACAAAGATGAATTTCTGCCGACCTGCAGCCCACGACGAATAACGCCGAGGAAACCAGCCAGACGAATAGCATGACGAATAGCATGACGGAAGAAACTAATCGCATCAGCTGGATAAAACAAGAACTCAGCGAAATGAATAACATACTCAAACCCAATCGGCGAAATGACGACGGAGGGCTTGTTTAAGTCACACATTCATCAATTTTGACCATAAGTGGTATCTAATTAGGTATAAAATTAAGTCAATGCTGGCATTGGCTGCAAACGAGCGACGAGGAATCTTCGTGTCTTCACTGCCACCAAGAAGAGCGCGATTAAATCGATATCTTATTAAAAATAGGTAAATTTCTGCTAAAAATTTGCCAGGAACTTTATGTTGCAGAACAGCTTAACCTATTCAGGGATATTAACGCATATGTGTACGTTTAGTTTTATTTAAAAATTACCGTTTTTTATAATTACAAAAATTTTTGAAATTTAAAAATTAAATTTAAAAATTAAAATTCATCCCTGAAGAGGTTAAAATGAAGACTAATGATCATTTAAAATTGCGGAAACTAAATGTCGTTCCAATAAAAGTAAGTAAAATCTGAGGGCTTTTTACGTAGGAAATTTTTTTTAACCCAACTGTTATTTGACAAGATCAATAAATAAATATTAATCTCATCAGATAACACACAAATTAACTTGTCTGATAAAAGAGTATTATTATTATTTTATTCTTTTTACTTTATTACTTTATTATTCATAAAATTATAAATATTAATATAGCACAGACAAAAAATACTTAATACTATTTTAATTATATTAATACTGAAACCATGAATATATAAATTAGTAAATTTTCTTTCTCTCTAAAACAGTGTGGTCAATTTAAGCACCTTAGACCCAGGAAACTTTGATATTTTATTAATTTTTATCACAGTTTTAATTGTTGGCTTTCCTCAAGGACGACATGGTTCCCGCAATTTAAAACTGTCATCATTTTGAATTATAAACCAGGACAAAGCTCAAATCGCAGGTTGTAGCCTTAATACAGAAATTTACCGAAAGTGGACTTTGCACATACAAATGACAAGAAGGCGCGTGAAGATGTAAATTTACCACGAAACTCAATCTACGTTTTATTTTTTACTTGATCTTATTTATACAAAGAAGTGTGTATATGTGTGTACATATATATTTTAACGAGGATGTGAACAAAAGGACGTAGCTTAGGTGAATATTATTAATATACCACTTGTATACTCAACAACGAATATTTTGCTGAAGCAATAATGATAAATATGTTGATATTTAGTTGGTTGTGATACAGTTTCTTCTGACAATTATTGTAACATTCCGAGAATTATCTGCCCAGGATAAATCGTCCTGTCGGTCACTGTGAACGTCAGGGCGCGCGGTGTGTTGTACTTACTCGTTATCACAAATTAAGGTGTTACCGAGATAATTTGAAATGCTTTGACTGTGATCGAATCTGTCTAGCTTACACCTCTCACGTGTGTATAGATTGTTCGAACGAAAGTATCGCATTAAATTCTTATCGATTTTTCAGTCTTTATATCAAACAGGAGCACGAAGCAGCGTCGCGATTGTTTTGGATTGTCTCCGTTTCTCTTTTTTTTGTTCTCTCCTTTTTCTTTTGTATACATTGAACAAATCGAGGAATGATGTCCGTTCATATCTATTTATTTATTCGCCTGAGAGAGATATATATGTATATATATATATATATATATATATATTACGTAAGTATAATACGCGCGCAATTCTGTCTCGTGCTCCTGCGAAGACACTGCAATTATCATTTCCGCAGAAAAACTCATATCACACGCACAAGGTGAGAGACATTCGTCGAACTATAAACGTAAATTTGATTTTAATGTAAAAAAAAATCACCATAAATGTCCATTTTACACTATTTAAATATAATAGTTTTTTTATTTCTTAAATAAGTTTTCCTTATAAAACGGTCGCGCGGAGAAAGCCAAACAGATGTAAGGGATTACTAAAGTAATCTGAAATGCTCCAGCTGTGATCGAATTTTTTTTAGCTTACATTCGTCATTCGTATGTAGATCTCCCGCACAAGTTATGGCCAGAAGAAATTACAACTAAACAGACCTATTACGAGGCAGTCCGTGCATAACGTACATCAAGTGACCATCATACTGTGCAATATCTCACATTTTCTACGCTTATATTGTTACTGTTATCTGTTTTGCACAGTTACACCTTCAGAAAGTTATATTTGTACATACGACCCGTGTAGAATGTATAGAAATAATAAATTTTTAAGATGTTTGACGAAATCGAACTGTCGAGTTTATTATTAAGGGAATATTGACTTTTCACCTAAAAACTTCGAGAGACGCTCCGTCCATGTATCATCTTTATTTACAAATAATATAGAAGGAAACGCACATTCCTTTAATCTAACAAACAATTTTATTGGACTAAATAACATATAATGTGATATATATATATATATATATAATATTGTCCTAGTCTAAATATGTATTATATATAATATAGAGAAATATATATATATATTATATCTAGAGTTATGTAATAATTAGTATGCAAGTGTGTGTAGTGTATCTTGTATGGTGTAAATATAAATATACATAAATATATATTTGTGTGTATATATATTTACAAATTTCCTCGGGCCATTTATTTATCACATATAATATGTAAAATATATTACAGACAGAGTCGATATCTTATAATATGCCATATACCTATGTGGTGTGAATAAATTACGTAAGAGCGATATCTCTGTAATCTTAACGACCTCGTATACCGTATAAATGTCGCGAGTTTATTAGTTATTTATACAGTATACCATGCCATAAAAACGTCTTCCGTTGAATATCGTCGTGGATTATGAAATCGAACGGGAACGATGCGCGTTATAGAGAATGAAGAGTAGTGGTAAAACGATACACATGTTGATCCTTACTTTACTGCGTCACTCTGCAAATACCTAATATCCTGTTCAAAGATACAACAAAAGGTCATATTTACAGTTACAATTGTATATTTACATAACATCGATCGATAAGTAGCGATCTCCTCTATGCTTAGCACGAGAAAAAGTCGGCAGTGTGTTGTGAACGCTTGGATTATTTAAACGTAAAAATGTAGTCTACATGTACATGTATATATGTGTATATGTGTAAATATGCGACGTATAATTCTCTCACATAACACTACTTTACAATCTCTCTTTCTCTCTCTTTCTCTCTCATTCACTCTCTCTCTCTCTCTTTCTCATACGGCATCCGTATTGCACAAATGTATTCGCATGGATGGCGGGTAACACATTATGCAAGTACAGCAATGTAACACATGTATAATATATATATTTATATATCTATATATATATATATGTGTATATATATGAGCGGGGAAGAAATATTTCGCTTCACATACATGTGAAGAATAAAAAAACATCTCGTGTTGTTTTCCAAAATGTATTTACTTAAAAATACAATGAAAGTTTCAGTTTTGATGGAATGGGCAGAAATATATAGTCTGTGGTGTCGGTTACTGTTAAGTTGAAAGAGATGATGCGATGGTATCCTGTACAAAAGTAGCTTGAACACACAAACCAAATTCTTAGCCTAGGATGTTCGTTTACGTTTAAATCGTAGACACATGTCGTTACCAGATTTTTTTTTACGCCTTAAACGTTCCTTTCATGCTTACCTAACGAACGTAGGGATGTAACGGTATGTGGGCGATCAGCCTGATTGATTGTAAGACCCGTTAGCACCAGTGAGTGAAATTTCCCGAATCGCGCCGAGTACTCGAGCGCGACGTGCACCGTCTCGTACTCCGTCGGGCTTGACGTACAAGACGCAAGTCTCTCTCTCTCTCTTTCTCTCTTTCTGGATGTATATAGATGTGTGTGTGTGTGTGTCTGTGTATGCGTGTGTGTGTGTGCATGATGCATGTTGCAAACGGGGCTTGGCATTGTATTATAATAAAATTAAATGGAGCTATGCTTATAGTATGTATGTATAGTATATACTATGAACGCTAAAAGTACTCATTTTGCTCAGGCACCTGTACTTGAAGATAGTTTTTTGCCGACAATCATCGTCAAATTACTATCTTGAAGCGAACACGTGTGTAAATACAGCATAGCGGATTGCGTATAAAACCGTAGATTAACAGAGACTGCCGGAGATGGTATGATTTTTCTCTACGCATCATCATCATCATCGTCATCATCATCACATTGACACATCAATCGGTCGTTGGACGCGTTACGTATGTGTACTTATAAAGGAATATTCGAATGTGTTTGTCTTCCTTTCCCGCACCATCCGCGAGAGAGATCGCAAAATCGAAACTTTTTTTGCAAGTATCAACGTATGCACGGTCCAACTCCCGCCATCTCCTTGGTTTCCATACAGCAGGATCTTAATCCGTGTGGGTGGGAGCAGCCTTTTACACTGCCGTCTCCGCATAGTTCTTTTTTTTTTTACCCATTTTCTTTTTCCGATATCAAACCCATCACTACTTACGAGAACGAATTCATTTTCTCTGATCTAACTGCGTTTTATTTAACTATCTCATTCGAAAATATTTGTACATTAAAACGTGGGACATCCTCTCGCATCCAAATTATCATTACCTTTATTTAATTATTATGCAGCTATGGTACAATGGTATCGTAACCGCAATGTCTCTTCACCCTTTTTTTTTCATCTCTTTTTCTTTTTTTAGCTTTACTAGCTCCCGAAATAAGTAGCGGTATGGACCTGCCAATCGCAACGATTCACCGACTCTAGCAAGAAGAGTCACCACACTACCTCGCGGTAATCTCGGCAACCAGTGAGTAATCATCATCATCGAGTTATTAAATCATGAAACGATCCTCAAGTATACCGTATTGTGTGCATGTGCGTGCGTACACGCGCCTTCTTTCTTTTTTTCCTTTTTTACACGTCAGTTTACGTGTGGGTATGAGCGTGGCAAAAGTATACAACGAGTACATGTCCGGATACCGATGCCACGACTGCGCGCATGGAGGGATCGCACAAGAACGAAACAAATACCGTCAACTTAGTCTGCGGCGAGTCAACGAATCATTGCTAAGAGTTAGTCCACGTCAAGATAAAAAAAAAAATCAAAATCATGATACATAAAAGTAATCGAAACGCTCGAATTACGTTTAGGTGAGAACATCACTATTTTTTTAGGGAGAGTACTCAAATACACAATCATCGTACGCAATAGTCGTAGTTCGAGATTTTCTTCCTTTTTTTTTCTTTCATTTTTTTTTCTCTCTTGTAATTCGCGTCATGCAACACACGGCAGTTCTGGAGTTATAAATATATATATTTATCTACATGTGTGTAATTGAACTCTTATCTCCTACAAAAAATGATATTGTTGCTTGAAAGGAATCGAGAAGGGTGATGGCGCCCCTCACAGCAATTCAACTGGCGAGTTGACTGTTCGATGCTCTCCCTTATCTATGCCCAAGCCTAAAGTGTAACAACCTCTCCGCAGTTACGTTACGTTTACATAATAGTATTCGTTAATAATAGAATGTTTCTTATTCCGTAACTTTATACATACTATGTATAATTATTATGCAATGTTAAAGTCATATATTTACTCATCCACACTACCTGACGCGAGCGTTGCATTAAATTCTTGTCAATTTTTCTGTCTCTATATCAAACAGGAGCACGAAGCAGCGTCACGACTGTCTTGGATTTTCTCCTTTTCTTTTGTATACATTGAAAATGTCGAGGGATGATGTCCATTCGTGTCTATTTATTTATTCGCCCGATATATATATACACACATATATATATATATGTATATATATATATATATTACGTAAGTATAATACGCGCGCAATTCTGTCTCGCGCTCCTGCGAAGACACTGCAATTACCATTTCCGCAGAAAAATTCATATCACACGCACAAGGTGAGAGACATTCGTCGAACTACAAACGTAAATTTGATTTTAATGTAAAAAAAATCACCATAAATGTCCATTTTACACTATTTAAATATAATAGTTTTTTTATTTCTTAAATAAGTTTTCCTTATAAAACGGTCGCGCGAAGAAAGCCAGATGACGGCAAATACCGGTTAGTAGGTGGTTCGGATAAAACGATAGATTCGTCTTGGGAACCGTGTGAGCGAACGTGCGAGCGCGCGAGCGAGCGGGCGAGACGGGCGGGCGAGACGGGCAAACGAACGAACGAACGTACGATACGAACGATCGAAACAAGAGCCTGGATAGAAAGTAGAATTCAAACTCATCGAGTCCTCAGGACGAATATATGGTTATCATTCAAACTACCTAACAGCATTTGGTGACGGCTAGACGACCAGAATTGCGATGAGCCAAGACAAATAGAATTGCGATCGCATCTAACGCGTGTCAGCCCGCCACAATTCCGGTGAGGTGGTAATTTTTAGTCGTAGGTCGGAAGGATCCAGTAACATGGATTGGGCACGATGGATATCAACATTATTACCAACCACTCAATATGAGAGTAAGTTTGCTGAGACTGCCGAAAAATCGACGATGATGTCGTCACGTGCCTAACGCCTCCCTTCTTAATTACATATTTTTCCCCTTTCTTCATTATGCGTCGTCCTCTTCGTCTTCTGCTTCACCTTCCACTTCACCTTCCGCGTCGTCATCCTCCTCTTCTGCAATGAAACAACGTCTCTCTCAGTGAAACGCTGCTGCTGCCGTTGCTACCGCTGCTGCTGTTTTGCTCTAATACTGCCGCTCGTTTAAACGGATCCGCGCGCACAATTGGAGGAGAGAAGTCGGGTTTATATTTACCTTCGCCTTCTTCCAAATCGTCTTCACCTTCCGGTATGTCATCGTCCTCATCATCTTCCTCACCGTCACCGTCCACTTCCTCCTCCTCTTCGATCTCCTCTTCCAATTCCTCCTCTTCTACCTCCCCGTCACCGTTCTCCTCCTTCTTCTGTTTCTTCGTTTCTTCATTCTTCTCCTGTAACAGGGACAAACGGGTTCAGTGCGGAAATCATCCTATGATGAAGAACCGCGCGCTACGAAAAATTATGCTCGATATTCGTCCACCCGAGCCCGCGCCCGTGCGTATCCCCCTTTTTTTTTTCAACGTCGATGCGACGACAAGGTGGAAAGAAAATTCGACGGCGGCTGCGGTAACGACAAGGACAGCGCGGAGAGGAAAGCGCGCACGTACGGACGACGGGCGAGGAGGACGAGAGGTCCCTTCCCGCCAAGAAATACGGTGGCGACGAAAGGGAGGTGTTGGTGTGGTGGGGACTTTCCCTACCCGTTAAAATACGGCGGGACAGGAAAAGGGAAATGGCGGAGGGAGTCGCGCGTCTCTCTACCGAGCGATCCGGCACACACAGTGCCGAAAACGCGAAGAACAGGTAGTAGTGGAGACCGCATCGCGACTTTGCCGATAAACGCTTAGCGTTAAACGGGGCCTCTCTCGTGACGCTTATCGACGCGCGCCGACGATTCGAGAGAGCGAAACCGACCGATTTGATAATCGGACGTTTCACCGAAGCCAGCGAGAGAGAGAGAGAGAGAGACGGTTGACGCGGGAGAATCCACTGGCGCCCATCGTCGTCACCCACGCGCGCAACCTTAATTCTCCGTCGAGAGAACCGCGATACAGAACCATGCCCTTGATCCAGTCCCCATGGCCCGTAATAATACAACGGCCATAACGCAATAAGCATCATAGTTTATCGATTTCGGTGGGAGGGGAAGACGAGCGGAGAGACAGAGAGAAGGGGAACGACAGCCAACGGCCGAGAGAGCGGAGTTCGCTCCGAATTTATCCGCGCGTCTGGAAACATCTTGTCGGCGCCCACTACACTCCGAAGTCATCCTCTCTCTCTCTCTCTCTCGGAGGCGGTATCATCGCGATTGCGATAATGCAATTTATCGCACAAGAGGCGAACCGCGTCGCGGAGATCCCGCTACGAGCAAGACGCGGTAAGGCGAGCATCCGCTTAGATATCGCGAGACGAGCGCGCGTCGTCTCGCGACGCGGTCATTTCCGATTTCATTCGGCTGACGTCGCTCCGCTTTTCGCACGGCGGCGAAAACGAACGAATGAGCGAGCGAGAAAGAGAGAAGCGCCGGTAACGCCGGACTCGTGGCCATACGGCGTTGCTGGCCGACCATGGTGGCGGCTGCTTGGCGTAACAGTATACACGCGCCCGTTCGTATCGGCGGGTACGAGAAAGCGGCTTCGGATGCGCGCGCGAAGCTACGCCGACCAATCGGAAACGCGGAGACCGGCGACGTGCGGCGAGAAGGCCGCGGTGATTGGCAGATGACGAAGGCGCACGCCGTGTGGCGGGGATACATTCGCGCTACGTAAACCTCGCGCAAGGCGAGCAGAAAGAGAGAGGGAGGGAGCGAGGGAGACAGAGATGAAAGGGGGATAGGAAGGAGGAAGATACCGGGGCAGCGTGCCCGCGAGTGTCGTGCAACGCGATGTTTTCGTGTAAAGAGTACAAATCTAAAGCAGAAAGAGAGAGAGAGAGAGAGAGAGCCAAGAACGCGCGATATTCCACGAGGCCGACGACATCACGTGGCGGTGTGTCGGCGGTGCGAGGGAGAAGGGAAAGGAGGAATCGATGGTCCTTGTGAGGGCGATCGAGCAGAGATCGATCGCCGATCGATCTCGGCACGATGATGATAATGCCGGAAGTAATCGGCGAGCGACTCGTGGTGGAAGCGAGAGAGAATGGCGCCGGAGCGATAGACAGAGACGCTGAATCAACGTTACGCTCTGTCCGTCCCACCCTCCTTCCGTGTCTCTCTCTCTCTCTCTCTTTCGCACTGTTCGGAGTAATCGTATTGCCATATACGGAATCGACCTGTTGCAATAAACTGCTAATGAAGGATCGGTTACCGACTGCGTTCTGCAAACAATGGAAACCCGATGAACGAGCTGACGCGCGCGCGTGCGTTACTCCGAATCCGCCGATCACTCTCTCTCGCAATCGTCGCCTCTACCCTACCTACCCTTCTCGCTCGACGAGCAGCGAACGTTGTTCTCGGCGCGAATGACAGTGTCAGACGACGACAGCGACAACAACGCCGCCGCCGTCGCTTGTTATGCCCGCGCGATTACCTATCTGCCCGTTACCAATCACGAGGTCTCGCCAGATAACCCAACACAACGCTCATAACCTATCGCATAGACTCGTTCTCGCGTTACTTTTTCTCACCCCGGCCGATCGACGCAACGAATGGCCGTTACGTAATTATCGCGTGACGTTTCGGATTATCGGCGAGATCGGCGGATGCCTCTCCCGGGAAGAAGGACCATTTTTGTTCCGAACGAAATTTCGCTCTCGCCGAGGAGGATCTCGCTGGGCCGTCGCGGTTCAGGCGACGATGGCAGAAAAACGATCAATCGGTCGAGAGTTTGGGAGTACGCCGTGTGGCGATGCTAATTAAGATAATTAAACGATACACGCGCGAAAACCGCGCGCGCCCACGAGAGAAAGAGAGACACGATGATAACCATTGAATGCAATAAGTTATTTCTGGCTCGCGGCACATCGATCCATAAACTGCGTTATCCGATCGACGCGACGCCTTTCCCGCCTTCTCTCTCGCCGGCCACCGCAGCCGCCGTTGTCGTAGACGTGACTCGCTCGAATCCTTCCGAGAAGTATCGATATCGGGAATGATGCACACACGCGGCAATTTCAGAACGCGGCGAGGCGAACCGAAAAACTCAAGCGCGTGTTCCCTCTCTCGCGCGCGCTCAGACACGATTTTCTGCCTTGACCTCGGACTTTCCGCCTTTTTTCCTCTCTCTCTCTCTCTCTCTCTCGTCTTCCGGAGCGATAGTAATCGCACGTATTCATAGATAGTGTTGTTCCACGAAGGAACGCTCGGAAATCGTGCGCGTCGGTAACAGTGCACATTCGACGCCGTTGTCCAAAGAGACGCGCGCGCGCCGTCGTCGCCTGTCCTTTTCCAGAGTCGCTCTCCCTCTCACTCTGTGCCCTCTCCTTTCCTCCTCCTCCTCACCTCGTTCATTCGGCCGCGCGCGATCTAGCGAATTAATAGATACTCTCAGGAGGAGTCATCGACGTAATAAGGCCGCGTCAACTTATGCGTACTGTGCGTACACGTATGTACGCGTTACGTGCCGCCCCGCTTCGGTCTTTCCACGTGACGCGCCGGAAAAGACGCCGACCGTAGTCGCACGTAACGAGAAGGGCACAGTTTTTTGCGGATTTCCGCCGGCGTCCATTGCGCGCGCCTTACGCGTAGGAAACGCAATCGCACGGTAAATTATCGGCTAAAAATAAGCCCCCCCTCCTCCCCCACGACCTCTCGTCGGCGTATCGGCGACGCGCCCGACGGCACTGCCGCGATCTAAGATGAAAAATCGCGGCAACGATGTTTTCTCGAAGGTTCGTAGTAACGCGCCGCTGCGCGCGACCGCCACAGCCGCGAAAAGAACAGGGAGGCAGGAGAGCACACCGGGTATATAATGCACGGCGTTGCCGCTAGCTGCGCAAGTGGGGTACCTTCGACGGAGGGAGAGAGAGGGAGAGAGAAAGAAAGAGCGAGGAGGAGTCACCGCCACCACACACTGGCAAAACCGAGGCCGTAAGAGAGAACGAGAAAGACAGACGGATGGATAGAGAGAAAAAGAAAGAGGGAAACAGATGGGGAGTGTAAGAGGAAGGAGGAGAAGTAAGAAGGAGAGAGAGAGAGAGAGAGTCCAAGAGAGGGAGCGAGAGGAAAAGGAAGCCTTCGTCGCGGTGTTTATGCACGCAGATCGGTAAACAATTTCAGGGCAACGCGTCGACCTGAAGGAGATACGCGTCGGTCGTCTATCGATCGACCATCGTGCGTGATTAACTTTCTTATAGCGAATTATCGATCAATTACAACGTAAAGAACGTGTATGCGTGGGAACGTAACGGGAGAGAGAAAGAGGAAAAGAGATAGATCGAGAGGGGGGAGGAGAAGAGGGGGAAAGAGAAGATAAAGCGAGAGAGAGGACGAACGATGAACGCGGGCTTGGTTTCGGCCGCCATAATGGAAACCGACACAGCGACGAGTGACGGTAGTAGTGATGGTAATGGTGGCAGACTACCACGACGATCGGAAAAATGCGCGGGACGTCCGCTTTTCCGGATGGCGACGCTATATTGACACGTAAAAATGGCGTCCGACGAGCGAGTTTAGCAGTGCACGAAATTGCAAGCAGCAAGAGTAGCGCGCCGTGTGTGCGTGGCTTGAAGAAGCCGCGAGGAAGCGAACTTGCCGGACGTGAAGAGAGAGAGAGAGAGAGACAGACAATGGACGGGAGAAAGAGAGACATGCGAGAAACGAGCACATGGCGCTAGCAGCCGCCGAGATTCTCTCTTGTGCCGCTCCGATCGTTCTCTCTCGTCTGTCTTTTTTTCCTCTCTCTCTCCTCTGCTAAACAACGCTTTCTCTCTCTCTCTCTCTCTCTCTATCCTTTTCCATGCACGCGCGAACACGTAAGCTCTCAAGTTGCATCAAATTTCAACTTTGGACACGTGAAACGCAGAACTGATAATTATAGATGGTGGCCGGTAGAGGAGTAGTCATCGCCATTATTATTATTATTATCATTATTATCATCATCATGATCATTGCAGTCGCCGCCGCCGTAGTCGTCGTTGTAGTCGTCGCCGCCGCTGTAGTCGTCAGCCATCGAGCGAGCAGAGGAACAGAATATGAAAGAGAGGGAGAATCGTCGCGCTCGGCGCGGCGGCTCGACGAATAATGCAATGGCGTCCCTTGCGCGCTCCTTACGCGCTCGTGGCGAAAAAACACCGCGCGCCGGAAAAGACGTGCCCTGCACGCGGCGCGTCCGATCGAGCGGACTCGACTACGCTCGGGGCCGCTCGCGAACGAAAATATGGAGTTCGGCCGCGGAGAAACGCCGGCCGGCGCGGCGTTCTCCTCTCTAGCCGTGGCTCGGCGGCGCGAATCGCAACGGAGAGAGAAAGAGAGAGGAAGAGAGCGAGCATACATTTCGGACGCGCACCGCCGCCGCCGTGCCGGTCGACGGGGACGGTACATGGAAAACGCGCACGCCGGCGGGAAAATTCTGCCGTGTCGGCGCTGTTCACGGAACCGCCGCGATCTCGTTGGAGCGCGTCCATACGACCCGACGATTCCCCGACGGCATGGCGCGCTTCGCGTGTATTATCATCTAGCGCGAGAGAGAGAGAGAGAGAGATATCATCGAGGACGCGCGCGTTCACACGGACGAGGAGGCGATGTTAAAAGTCCCCCAACGATTCGCACGGATGGAGCAGTGTTACTCACCTCGGCTGGCCTCTTGATCCCTTTGATTTCGCACTTCGCGTCTCCGGACGCCTTATCGTTCTCCGTCACCTTCTCGACCGCGACCTCGTTGTTTTCCTTGGTGCTCATGTCGGCTGAGTCTCGTCTTCTGCGCGTCGATACTCCCCCGGGAAACTCTGTTTCGCGACTCGAACTCTATTCGAGTGTACTAGAAAGCGACGTCGGCGGCTGCGGCGTGTACGCGTTTACGATACCTCGGGTACGTGTCCTCACGCGACGTTGGCTTCCGGCGGAATGCCCGAGAGAGCAGCGTCGTCAGGCGAAGACCCGAGGGGCAACGAGGGAGAGGGCAAACGCGGGGAAGGGGCAAAGAGAGAGAAAGAGTGAGAGAGAGGGAACGAGCGAGAAGAAGGGAGATCGAGTGAGAACAAGAGAGGGGAGCGAGTGAGAAACCGCGAGGGGGAGAGTGGCGGAGGAACCAGTCAGGAGTGGAGCGTGCCGTGTACCGACGACTGTGGCGCGAATAGCGCAAAGCGGACTACTACCCGATCCCGGCTCCTAGCATGTCCAACCTGGCTTTGTTCAAAAATGAAGATGGCGCGGGTTTGAAACTCGACAAACCCCTGATTGGTCGGCGTCTCATGGCACTGTATACCCGTGCCAGTGTGCGCGATCCGTCGATTTCACCGTCGTATGATCTTACGCGATTGCCCAAAGGTCTTACGCACGTAACGCGGCCGTTCGGCGCACAAATAAAATTAAATCCCGCGGAGGACGAGGGGTTCGAGAGTTCGTGGCCCGAGCGGGACGTCCGGTTCGAGGCTATGTCGCTCGATTCAAATAAGCCTCGGCGCTGCGAGTCGTCCTACGTGGGCTTCAGCTGGTCCACGTGTTCGCGGGAGAGAGAGAAAAAAATCGATGGGCGCGCTGTAGCACGAAGGGCGCGCGGCGAAAACGATCGCGCGAGCGAACGATCGAAAGCGCGTCACGGCTCCGCACGCGAATTTTCACGTCGCCACGCGCGACGTGACGCGAGTACGTGCGGACTGATCTATAGATAGAGCGAACGGACGCCGTCCCCGCACCACGCAGACGCCGGCCGAAATTCGAGGTGTGTGTTAACCCACCCTGAGAGAGAGAGAGAGAGAGAGAGTGAGCTCCGAAAGAATATTCGGGACGACGTGAATTTCGCTTCCGTTGCGCGTTCGTCTTAATCCGTGGCCGCCGGCGTTACCGTTTGCTCGCACGATCCGTCAATCGCTGTGCTTTTATCGCCGTACCCGGCGGAGATTCGATAAAAACAAAGAAACACTTGTCCGATCCTCCTCTTTAAGAGCGACATATATTTATCGTTTTATACACACACACACACACATATATATATACGTATATGTGTAGAAACTACTGCGTGTCGGTTGAGATTGTGTAAACGGCATTGTTGCTCATTCATCGCGTGTGTCCGTCGTGGTTGGGCAAGAATTGCCGGGCTAAAATTGCCACAAAGCCGCGCGCTCTATTTATATCCAGCGTAACGCAAATAGCGAAGGGCGGCTTAATATAAAATTGCGCTTATTGATTGGATGTCTTATATATTAAAGCAATTTTGATGCTGATTGTTAAAACGGCGTGGAGCGTTAAAACGTAATCGGAGTTTCGCGCTGCCCCGAATCCGGATATCCGGCGCCATCAAGGCGTTCCCTCCCGCTTCGTCGCTTTTTTTTTACACATGATCAATTTCGCAGAATGCCGTATATAACGTCCGCCGTCATATTAATATTTATACGCGTATAGCGAAAAAAATTTATGGCCTCTGTCCACAGGACGTGGCAACGCTTGCCGCGCGGCGGAAGTTCGCGCGGCAAAAGTTCGCGCGGAACAGCCAATCAACACGTCGTTTTTCGGTAAGAACTGGAAGTTTATTGGCTACCGCGCCAACTTCCGCCGCGCGCGGCAAGCGTTGCTGTCGTACGGGCAGAAACCATTGGTTGCCTTCGGTAGACACAACAGTTGTACAACAGTTGAATAATTCAATATAATTGGTCTAAATTCAGGAATCTAACAGTAAAGGCCAATAATCATTGATCGTTCACTGATCGCTTGTGTTCTCTGAACGCAGTCACCATTCAAGATTTCGGGATTTGTTGCTTTCGTCGTGCGCATGCGCACCACGCCGCGCACCTCCGCGCCGCCACTACGTCCAAGGAACGGTGTAGGAAAAGTAGGTTCCACTTAACGCTCGCAACGCTTGCGATCATCGTTCTCTCTTTGTTCAACATCCAAGAGAAACAAGGATAGAATGATGCTGGCGGTCGTCGCGAGCGTTAAGTGGAACGCACCCGAAGCGACGTATCCAGAATCGAGAACAGAACACCACTACGTCCGGTCGACCGTCGAGTTTCCTTTTGCACGTTTCTTTCGACGCAGACAGCATGGTAAGTTGAGATGTGATTTTTTCTACGATTGTCCCTGATCCGTGAATATCACAGCGATCGTTACGTATATTACATCATGAAGTTGGCTTTTTTCCACTCGAATAATATTCGCCAGATTTTCCGTTAATATTTCTTTCGATTCGGTAAAGAGCGATTAACCTCTGCGTTGTTCGGTAACATAACCTTATTAGCATAACGAACGTGAAGTATGTTTTGGTTCGTCGCTCTGTAATGCTATGCGCATTCGGTCGAACTTGATAAATTAAACTCAAAGAGATGTATCCTGAAGGCAACAACTCGCGCCAACGATGAAGATCGCGAGACTTTCAACGCTCATCCGAACTATGTTTTCACTGTCCCTCATAGGTTAACGTGCCGAAGCAAAGGCGTACTTTTTGCAAAAAATGCAAAGTACACAAAAATCACAAGGTGACGCAGTATAAGAAAAGCAAGGAGAGACGTGCCTCGCAAGGCAGAAGGCGTTATGACCGTAAACAGCAGGGTTTCGGCGGTCAAACGAAGCCTATTTTCAGGAAGAAGGTATGTAAGAGACATGCGTGTACTCTTATTACTATGTTACGCGAAATATCTTAAGATAAATTGCAGTTTAGTATTTTGTTTATTGCTTTACGTACAATATTAGTCGTTGTAATTTAACTAACACATCGCTGTACGAATTCATGGATGTTGTATCAACATTTGTTGAATGGATTATTCATCGATTAAAATATCGATGGTTTACGATTAAATCTGTGACCAATATCGAGATAACTAATACATCTGTGGTATTAAACATATTTTCCTTCTTTTCTAAATATGCCTTATTATGTGCTACTGTAGGCAAAAACTACCAAGAAAATTGTACTGAGAATGGAATGCACTGAATGCAAGTACAGGAAACAAATTCCATTGAAGAGGTGCAAACATTTCGAGCTGGGTGGTGACAAGAAGAGGAAGGTGAGTACAAACACATTTCAAATAATACACAAATGGAACATCTCAAATGGACACTGACGACACAACTGTTCTCTGTTTTCAGGGACAAATGATTCAATTCTAAGATTACCCATTCTTCTCTGTATTTAATAAAAAATAAAAAAACCTATAGGGATTTGTACAATTCTTTATTTCTTTACGGTAAACCGTAATTTTATAAAGTAAAAATCATCAGATGTACCTAACGTGAGTATAATGAGCTACTTAGTAACTTCTATTCATCTTGATTTTCACTGTTATTTGACGGCCGTTGTATAGAAACTACCTGTTGCGGATTGCTAACGGGATAAAGAAAAGAGGTGGCGAGATTATTTTGATATTGTGTCCACACCGTTGCGGGAAAACAAAAGTCGATTTGTGTGCGTGTAACAACAATTGCGTCAAACCAAGATTATACTTCACAGCAGGAAAATGGTTCTTGATTCATTTCTATGGTTAATATTTACACGTGCGTAGGTGTTGGTACGTCTAACACTAGCATTTAATCTCAAGTACAATCATCGACCAATGTTACAAGTACGATTATCATTTACACGAAAGAAAGAGACATGATCACACTTACTCCAACACGGATGCATCCAGCCCTTCCTGCTCCATTTTTAGTTTAACCGCCTGCTTCGGCACACCGAAATGAATCATTTTAAAGTACTTCTCATACCGAGGGTCTTTACTTGCGGCATGTTCATCTTTCTCCCCTTCATCTTTAGGCTCTATCTCGTTACTATCGGGTTCATCCACTTTGCGCACCTCCACTTCCTCCGACTTACTTGTATTATTCTCGTTAACGTTATCCGATTCTTTACGATACTCCTGCTCTAAACCAGGTATAGAGGACAGCTGAGCGAAGAAGCAAAGCGAAACATGTGAAATTTTATTTATTTGTTTACGTGCGCGCAGTGGGTTTCGTCTCATTGTGATCTTCTATTAAAAGATATTCACGTACCCGTGACTCTAATATCTCTAAGGACGCTTCTAACTTTTGCAGCTTATTTTCGAACTCGTACAACTTCTCCTCGCAGGATAGAGCGAACTTGTTCAGAAATGTAACGGTATGGGTGATGAAGTGATTTATAAAAGAGACCGTTCGCTTTTGATTGATCGGCGGTACCTAGAATATATATACAAATCATTTCAGGTCTTCTGCTCTCCCCTCCTGCATTCCAACGTTATCAAAGCATTTATAACGAGCATCATCGCCTTCGGCAGATGGCATGCATGGAAAACGAAACAAACGTTGGAAGAACCTCATTGTCGGCACCTTTGTGTAGTCTATAGTCGGTTCAATTATCGGTATCTTATAGCCACTCATCGTGCAACACGATCCTCCGCTTTCAGTTTGACAAAACGTTTATTCGTATCACGCTGATAACAAACATTTCGCCTCACTACATGTCGGGTGATGCAGAGAGTGGAAACCGCGTATTCCCTCGGAAGACTCCTTAAGGTACCGTTTCATGTGTAGCCGCAGCAGTTCGTTGTTATTGGTTAAAACTTTTTCGTCGAATGACTGGCGCAAAAACACTTGAGTTTCGGTGGCGGTTCGTAGCGGAGAGCCTCGGAACTAACGATGACGTCTACACTCAAGACACAAACCTTTCTCAGCCAGCATTTATCGATCATTTAGCCGAGACTCAAATCTTTTCGGCGAGACCTTATGTTAATAACTATTATCTCGAAAACTACGACAAATCGGACAAAACGCTGAGACGCGGGTGAAATATTTTTTCGATGTAATTATACCGTATTTAATCGCGTGACGATCGGCGTTAAGCGTATTCGAAAATCAATGTACCGGTCGCCGCATAATTAAATGTGGAAAAAATTTGAAAAATGTTTTTTCCATGTTCGGGCGTCGTCAATTAGGCTTTCTTCGCACAATTATGTGAGAAACGACGATAATTACGACTACTCGGCCGTTTTCGTTTCCCGCTCCGTTAAGCGGAATCCACACTCGATATGAGGTCCTTGAATGCAATGTGAATTCTTCCTAACGCGAGCCACCGTGCCGCCCGTTCGGAACATTGTCGCTCGTTAACTGTGCTGTCCGTTGCTCTTGGAGGTTAGTTTAGCCGTTCGGAACGGAACACTGCGGAGAGAGCCGCTCGGCCAAGCTGCTTCGACCTGTATCAGTTGCAGTAAACGCACAACTACGATCCTTTTGTCACGGTCGGGATCGGCTGTATGGAGATTTCGCGGAGGGCCGCAATTCTCTGAAGGATGGAGTCGCCGCCGACCCTGGAGGCCACTTACCAGGCCGTGTACTCTTTATATAATAATACTAATCCATCCGAGCCAGCGAAAGCGTCACTATGGCTAGGAGAGTTACAGAAATCGGTAAGTTTCACGTGGGATTTCGCATTCATCCGCGAACGGATCTCGCCGCGTCTGATATGATGAACGCGATCGCACTCGCGTTATCCGCATCGGAGACAAGTGCCCATATATGTGTGTGTGTGCGTATATGCCTCTTGGTGCATTTATATTATCAGCATCGAGAATCAGCGGTACGCTGGACAGATAGGACTTTCTAACCTTAAGAGAAGGATGTTTTCGCCACGAGAGAAAGAGAGAGAGAGAGATATCTCATTTGTCGCTACGATGCTCGAAATCGCATAGATATTCGTTAACTCTTCGCGTCGGACTCGCGTCTCCCCGGACAGTGTGTCTTTCGTAAGTCAAAGATGTCAATCACACGCACGTGATTAGGTTAGGTTGCGATCAGATAAGAAGCCTTGTATGCACAACGTGCATACACGTTTGTTGATCCGTACATCCGACTTAACTCTTTACTTTTGTTGCAATTGAATCTGCAGAATGTCGAGGCGAAAGAAAGCACAGTTTCTTTTTAAGGGATGTTTCATACATTCCCATCTCTCTCTTTCTTTTTCTATGAATTTAAAGGTGTGTTTGTTAAATATTAGTATGAGATATTGACCATTTAATTCCGATCATCCTTGAATTTATTGTTTCTGTATGTTCGCAGGTATACGCTTGGAAGATAGCTGATGAAATGCTCCATCAAAAACGGGACGTGCAGTCCTGTTATTTTGCAGCGCAAACAATGCGCACCAAAATTCAACTATCTTTTCACGAATTACCCCCGGAGGCTCACGCCTCGCTGAGGGATTCGCTGATGGACCATATATTACAAATAAATGAACACACTAATTCCGCCATTGTCACACAGGTCTCTATGTGTATTCTCTTTGCTTTTAATATTTCTCAGGATGAATCGAAACACAAATTCAGTCCCGTTTAATCTTCATTGACTCTCTCACATTTCTCATTTTTACAGTTGTGCTTAGCATTAGCAGATCTGGCCCTACAAATGTCCTCTTGGCAAAAACCCGTAGTGGATTTAATTAATAGGTTCGGAGGGAGCACTGTTTATCTATGGCCCTTGCTTGAAATGCTGAGAGTACTCCCGGAGGAAGTAAATTCCAGATCACTTAGGTACAAACACACGATCCTTTATTTGTTGAAAGGAAGAAAAAGAGAGAGGGAAAGGTGGCACAGCGCAGGAATCAAGAATATTTTGTGTCTCTATGTTTGCAGATTAGGAGCTAATCATAGACAACATATATTGCTCGAACTTAAGGCAAGCGCAGACATCTTAACGGAGTTTCTGGTACGTCCGATGATATTATACGCATGTGTGTGTACAATAGCATACCGTTTGTTACAACATTGGTTGTTCAGTGTTTCATGTACAGTGTAATTACAGAAAATGTGTGTAAAGAACGGCGGAGAGAATATACAAGTTCGAACCACAACTCTGCGGTGTTTCACCAGCTGGATAACCGTCCATGCGATACCGCTAGAAGCCGTACCTTCCAGCGATGTTGTCGCTTATGCGCTACAGGTAAATCCCCGCGAGCGAGCTTTTCGGCCTCTCCTCACCGAATGCGTTTCAGATACTCGGCAGCCATATGGAGTGTTCGCAACTGCACGAAGCAGCCTCCGATTGTATCTGTGTCATTCTACAAGCGCTCTACACGGATAACAACACGAATCGCGACAGCGAGAACCAGCCGAGCGTGCAGTTGCAGCAGTTGCAATCGTGTCTCTTCGCGAGCGTGATGAACCTGGAACAACCGTACCACCTGTCCGTCGCGCACGAAGACACGGAGAAGTGAGTTCTCATCGGATCGCTCGCAGCAGACCGAGGTTTAATCGTATCGACAAATGCATTGCAGGTCTATAAATTACTGTCGAATATTCACGGAATTGGCCGAGACTTTCTTGGATACCATAGTAGCTGGTAGCATAGGAGGGAAGCAACATTACGGCATCAAGATTTTAGATCTCGTTCTGACTTGTGTCGGCCACAACGATTACGAGGTACCGTACCGTTAATCCCATCGGCAAATCCATCGATTACCTCGCAATTCTCTTTCAAGGTGGGACAGATATCGTTCAATTTGTGGTATCGGCTCTCCGAGGTGCTGTACCACAAAAATAGCGATGATCTCAATGCCGTATTTCGACCCCATATCGAGAGACTGATTGGTGCCCTCTGCAGGCACTGTCAGATAGAACCGGACCATGTTAGTATTCGATAACGTTTTACTCAAATAAGCAGCCGGTGAGAGAAACGGCGATTACAAGAATTGTTCGTCAATCTCCAGTTGGGTCTCGTGGAAGAAGGCGTGGGTGGGGAAGAGTTCGCCGACTTCAGATTTCGCGTGGCTGATCTGATCAAGGACGTAGTGTTCATCGTTGGGAGTAGCCACTGCTTCCGGCAAATGTTCGCGTCGTTGACCGGTGGGCCTGGACCGCAGGGTCAGCCAGTACACACACCTACCTGGGACTCGACCGAAGCTGCGTTGTTCATTATGCAAGCTGTAGCAAAGAACATACTTCCGTGCGTATCAAACTGTTTCTTCCACTGTATTCACCGCGAGCGGACTCACGACGATAAACCGCAAGTTTTATCGCTTTTGCGTGACAGGGAGGAGAATGACGTGGTGCCAAAGGTGGTGGAAGCTATACTCAATTTACCGGAGAACACGCATATAGCCGTGCGGCACACCAGTATCCTTCTGTTAGGCGAACTGTGCGAATGGATAGACAGCCATCCGCGAACTTTGGGTGAGAATGCGAACGAATGCTCGATGTCGGTGTTTACCTTCCACGCGGCGCTCTAACGTGTCCCGCCTTTGTTTCAGAGCCGGTGTTGAATTTCCTTTTAGCGTGTTTAAATCAAAAAGGCTTAGGAAATGCCGCCTCAGGTGCGTTGTTAAGTATATGTACATTTTGCCCGCTACACATGGCGCCGCACTTCTCGGGGCTCCTTCAGATAGCTTGTTCGCTTGATAGTTTCGCAATCAACAATGACGCGGCTCTTGGTCTATTGAAAGGTATCTTGTGAAATACGTAATCCGCGTGCGAGGTGCGGCCGATGAATTTATCGTTCATCTGCCGATCACCTTGTGCGCCGTGTTTCCTTATCTACCACGAATATTCAAATTGCAACCGATCGTATCGCGACAGGGGTATCTGTAGTTTTGGCGAAATTACCGGAGGAAGAGATCACCCGAGGGATGAGGGAATTGTGCGGCTTCCACGCGACTTCTCTGTGGACGCTTCTGTCGGACAGAATTCCAATTGAGAGAGGAACAAAGACTGATCCTGTGATATGGCTGGATAGATTAGCCGCTGTATTTAAATATACCAAGCCTGCAATAGAGGACCCCAATAAGCCTCATCCTTGTGAAGGCATAGTCACCGAAGTGAGTATTGGCGGGACGAGAGGGAAGAGGGACGCAACTGACTTTTACGTGAGATACTAAAGGCCGCACGGGAAAAACGTAATCAGTAAGAAAACGGGCCAATCGATCCTTCTTCGACCAATTTTCTTACTGCTTACATTTTTCGGTGTGCCATGACCCGAACGTTTCGATATATTTGAAACTGACGTTTGAATTGTCGCTCGACATTCGTGTAATCGCAGATATGGCCGATATTGTCTAACGTATGCACGACATATCAACGGGATGTGCGAATCATGGAGAGATGTTGCCGCTGTATACGCTTCGCGATACGTTGCGTAGGCTCACGTTCTGCCCCCTTGCTCGAGCCGATCATAAAAGAGGTACTTCTCTCGGCCGAATTCAACGGCAAAACTCTCAAGGCCTATCCAGAAAAACTTGCACAATCGCACGCGCATAAGGAGACAAATAAGTCATTATTCGTGCAGCAAAATTATGTATTCTTATATTAGACACACGATTGGACGATTTCCTTGTGAACACGACTATGCAAGTTTGTCCGGATAGGCCTTTATCGTTCTTCCGCTCGATGCATATTGCAATTCCGCTCTCTCTCTCTCTCTCTCTCTGTCTCTCTCTCTCTCTCTCTCTCTCTCTCCCCCCCCCTCTCTCTCTCTCTTTTTTTCTTTTTTACAGATCGTACCGCTGTATACGTTAAATCAACACAGTTGCTTTTTGTATCTCGGGTCTATATTAGTAGACGAATTCGCCAAAGACGCGATATGCGTGTGGAATCTGTTGAATATGTTACAAGCTGTCATAGGTCCTACTTTCGCCCTTCTTGAGGAGGAGGACGGTTTGAAGAATCATCCGGACACGGTAGATGATTTATTCAGGTTGTGCGCCAGGTAAAATAACAATTGACCACTATAAACACGCGATAATCATTACCTGGCAATGTTTTTATCATGGACCTGATGCTGACGCCTCTTCTCATATAATAGGTTTCTTCAAAGAGCCCCTGTCCCTTTGTTACAATCTCCCGTTATTGGGAACATTGTAGATTGTGCGATAATGGCTTGTAGTTTGGATCACAAGGACGCTAACAGTTCAGTAATGAAATTCTTCTACGATTTCTTGAACAGTGGTCGCTGTTACAAGGTAATTGTTCAGCGGTCGAATCGAAATTGCAATGAAATCTCGTGCGACACGTAAAACTGGATATACACTGAGCGTAAACTAACGAGGAAGCGTAAACGAGCAACGAATGCAAACTTTCATTGTTACCTCATCTAATTCTCAGCTATTTTTATTTTCTCGATTCTTTTCAATTTCCTCAAAATATTCTTTTAACATGTTATTATTTGCATTTTCTCTTATTTTTTTTTCAAATCTAATTGCTCTTTTACCTGACTCTATTCGTATAAGTAATTTTTTTCGTTTCTTCTCTGACTGCGCATCCTGGTGTGTTCCGATCTGATCTTAACGACCATTTTATGAATTTATCTTGACACCTTTCTGTTGCTTCGTACTCCTTCCATCCCCATATCTCTGCTCCCTGTACAACGTAAAATATTTACACTGTAAATATAAACATTCATGTTACACATTTGTTGTTCGTTCGCAGTGTACATTCATTTTAATCTTTGCGCCACTAAGTAACTAATTGTGTTGCACTTTCGGCACGTTTACGTAGGATCGTCCGGATTACACGACCCGGCAGCAGTTGGTACAAAGTATACTGCAAGAGAAGGGTCAAACGCTCGTCATAAAATTGCTGCACGCCTCGGTGTTCTCGTTGCCGTCATACATGTTGTCTGATATAGCGGACGTAGTTATGGAACTTATACAACATGACAGAGAGGTAAAAGAGGACCATATGGCCCGCTCTACACGGTACACCTTTCATTTTATCGTTGACAAATATCGCTCTCACCTCTTTCCTCAGCTCACGTCGAAATGGCTGGAAGAAGCCATCAAGACGATGCCGGCGCAGAATGCGAGCGGATCTCCCGCAGCCACGCCCGAACAGCTACTTGAATTTCACAGTACAATTACGAGGTAAATTGTCACGCAACCGTGGCGCATACTGCGCCAATGTAAACCCAGTGTTGTAACCCGACTAATTATTTTGTCTCTTCTTTTTCCCGACATACAGCGCAGATTCAGCGAAATCTATCACTAACGCCCTGCGAAATTTCGCACGTCTGTATCGCTGATGCGTCCCCGCTCCGATGCGCGTGTGATAAATTCGCCTCAATAAATTCTCCCTAAATTATATAAATTACGAAGATCTTCCAACAAGTTTTGTTTACGTCGTCGTCGATGAGCGAAAATTTCGGCAAAATGTAACACGGTGAGTCTCGATACTGTAGAAGCAACACGTCATTGGAAAGGGAGAGAGAGAGGGAAGGGGGCGGGGGGCAATTAAAAAATTTTCTTTGATTACTATCTATAGTGATGTTTGCAAAGTATATCGATACATTACTAGGCCTTGCAACTGGACATGCATCTTTCTTGTAAAACATCTACACAAAAGAAAAAGGGAAATCCTTTGTATCTGTTTATACACTTATTTTTATTATCTCTTTCGTGCACGCATTTTGATACACATTTGTACTTTGTTTGTTAATAATCGTCTCGCGCTAGGTACGATTATTAACTTGTACAATTATCTATTATTAGATACGGGCAAATATTTATACAAGTATTTTCAAATTTATTATATTTCCTTTTATTTATATACATGTATCGACAGAAGAGAATGTTTGTGCGATTTATTTTATTACGGAGAAAGGAAAACGTATACCTTGCAGGCACACTATAAACAGTAAACACGCCGAGAGATGATCGTGAAAACGAAGAATACGCGTACTGACCACTTTATTTATAAATTAACTAGATTGTACTGACATATTTTGCTTGTGTGTGAAATGATCTGTTAATCAGCAGAAATTTTATAACATTGCTCTTTTTACTGTCTCGACTATCATTGCGTTGTAATTACATTTACTTGGCGCAAGAAATTCATCACATTTGTTCCCCCGTGAACGGATTACAAAATCATGATCTTCATTTCTTGTTCGATCAACGAATAACCAACATGTGGCAGAAGCACATTTATGAGAATTAAAGTGACTCTTTTTAGTTAAGCATCTGCAAATGTACTACGATATATATATATATATATATATATATATATGTGTGTGTGTGTGTATATATATATATATATACCTATTATTTTCAAGAGAATACAAATCTATCTCGTCTATGCATACTTGAACATTTGTGCGCGCGCAAGCTATAATTAAAAACAATAATTTCAATATGAAGGTTGACATTGGCATTCGTTGTTGTTTCTCAACTTGTGCTGCGCAAGACGCTAGGCAGCACTACTAAATTGAACGACTATTATATATTACTTACCGATTTATTCAGCCTTTTGAATCCATCTGTAGTTAATTTTCAATTTGTACCTATTATAGTATTATAGCAAGGAACATATTTTCTCGCGAGCTCCATCGAGAGATAATTACTCCGATTACAATTTTACGTAGGAAATTTTAGAGATTTATACAAATTTTTCCATGTTTGCACATATATAAAGTCCATTTCGAGTACGTATATATTTTAAGTATATTCTAACAATTGTATAATATATGGGATAAATGTACGTACGTAAAATAGCACTTTGCTGTGTTAAACTGCAATACTGTTCGTGTGAGGGATGATTACAGAGTTCGTTTGTNGGGGGGGGGGGGGGTAGTTGTATCGTCTGTAGCGTTACGCTAAATCTATCGTTTAAGTGTACAGAAATAGTTTTACGTACGACAAGTTTAAGACGCCGCTTTTCACGGAGTGTTGATGTGTACAGACTTGTGGTAAGGATAAGTAATAGTAAAGAGTGAGAGAGTGAGCGAGAGAAAGAAAGAAAGAGAAATGGTTGTAACGTACATACATATTTACGTGCGTAAACGCACGATATGAGAAACAAACCCGGTAACAAACACTAACCAACGGTAACATTACATCGGTATTATAATTTCCCGTCCAACAATGTAAGTGCAATATAACATGCGTTACGTACAACAGTTGCATTGCCGAATGGGAAATTCATAACATTATCATAATATTACAGTTGGCTGTTGTTTACCGGCTTACCCGTTCGTCTTCAATGGTATACTGGCCTCTGGGACATGTCCACCTGCGAATATACCGTCAACAATGTAGCATTTACGTTGTGAAAGCTAATCGTCGTCATTTTGTTCTTCGTATACGTAACAGCTCTCATCGATCAATCGCAAATAAAGTGATATTTTTTACGGAAGCGCGCACGTCACTTCTCAACCGTAGACACCGATAGACGTATCGGCGGGAGGAAGCCCGTGATCGAGAGTTCTCTCCGCAGGCGGGACGCGCGGCCACGTGGAGTCGACGACGGATCGGCCGGCGCGATAAGCGCCACTCTGACCGAAAAATCTCTTCTTGCGCCGCCAGCTGCGCGCTCGTCCGTTCGATCGCGCCTTCGGTCGCAAGGTGAACCGGAAATATTTGGGTTGCCGGGAGGGAAGGCGAGCGTGCAGGTGTCATTCAGCTCGAGGCTGAACGCGGACTTTCGTTAGGTGGATGATATCACGACGCGCCCGCGTGAGAACGCGTTCTTCTTCCTCGCCTCGGATGTTCCCCGTTTCGTCGAGTCACGCTCCTTCCTGGCATCGTGAATGACGACAGATTTTGGGACGCCATTATCACAGATCCCGCCTCGGTCGGAATTTCATTCTCATATATCTGCCCACTTTTGTTTCGACAGTTGTCCGAAAGGGCACGGCGGGATCGAGGAGTGAATTCCACAATCGGCGCCGAATTGAATCGGGTTAAAGCCGAACCGGCGGGCATCCTTCTCGGAAAGCATCTCGCTTACCGTTGGCAAAAATTCCGGTTCTGCCCGGTGGTGTAGTACCCGATTTACAGTATCGTAGAAAACGGCCGTTTCCGAGAATTTAGTGGACAGCGCTTATGCAGCTGCAGGTTCGGATGCCACGTCCTCTCTCTCTCTCTCTCCAGGCCAGGACATTGCTGGCGATCTCGCTGCCTGAGTCACTCGGCAGTCGCGTTATGAGTCACACACAGACGGGCCTTATTGGCTGAGGAATTGGTTTCTAACAAAGGAATGTTGTTGCAATGGGCAAGCAGGCAAACGAGCGGGCGAGCAGACGGTGGAGCGGTCGATGCATCGTCTTCGTCGCTTTCTCCCGTCGCAAGCAACGGTGCGAAGTTATCGATCCTACCTAATGCTATTGTGCCAATTCTACAGTAACAACCGTGATAAGATCAGTAACGCTGTAAGTTACGAATGATACCATTATTCGCGCATGACCGACTTAGACAAGAGCGATCGCGGATTAACGGTGAAGCGCTCGTAATTAAATAAATAATTCCTCGATTCCTCTTTCTAGACTCTGATACGATATCAGGGAAAATAACGCAAGTGAAGATTTCTGAATTTTGCGATTATTGTTCAACGACAAATTGCACGTTTTGAAAAAAAGATTCGAGTAAATAATTACTCCAATACTCCTCAGCGAAACTTTGATTTGGATCAAGTAAATATGTTACTTGAATGCGGAGAAAAGCGCTACATTCGAGTAATTACTTAATCCAAGTGAAAATTCGCTAAGAAATATCAGACCGATTATTCGCTTGAATCTAGTTCACTCTTTTTGTGTAGAACTGGAGATAGGTGTCGGCGAATTCTTATTATTATTCATCGATCAGTTTGATCTGAGTTTGGTGAAAGTCAGCCTGCAAAGCTGAACGTCGACGGTCGCCAGACGAGAAAAAAAAAAGAAAGTACCTCGGAGTACACGGAGTTAATTGGTGATATTTATCACCAGTTGAAATCCGGATTGATTCGAGGTAATTCGAGATATATAATTTTCTCGTTAGCCGTCGAATCGCCGGGATTCGCGAGGCACGCACGCACGTCGGCGTGATCGCGAATTCCTGCGTATTAACGGGCGATTACTCACTCGTCTTCGACGAGAGTACCGAATCGTACCGGCCGAATGTCCACGCGTGCGTCACGCGGTACTCGTCGCCGCGCGATGACGACTATCGACGCCCACTCGATACGCGTGTGTCATCTATCAATAAAAGAGCCCTGCGTCTCGCTTGCGGGCATTGACGGCACACATATATATATATACACGTATGTACACACCCCGACGAGGCGTATCGCCTGCGTGCGTGTGTTAGCACTGCGGTACCATTCACGGCTTTCCACGGCGCAAACGCACGCAACGCGTGCGAGCCGACGACGACGTTCTCGTTCCGCGGGAGAATGATTTCTCCCGCGCGAAGGGCACAGTGGGCTGGAAAGGTAGGTAGGTAAGTAGGTAGGTAGGTAGGTAAGTAGATGGATGGTTATTTGAAGTTTATCGGAGAAAACATATTTCCCACGACGTCCTTTCGCTACGTAGAACCACACGGGGAAACAATTCCGTGGGTGTAACTGTATTTCCCGTTGCCCGGTAGCGGCAGGCGAAACCGACTCGGTTGTAGGGACAGGAACAGATTCTGCCTGCACCGATAGAAATTATTTTCGGCCTCGGCTGTATTCTTTTTCTTCCTTTTGCTTTTAATCACAAAAATAGTAGCAGCAATTGCGCATGTACACAATGCGAAGTTTTGTATTACAAATTAAGAAACCATTCCAATTTTTGTGCACTTTTTAACATATTACCTCGCTGTTAAAGTAACGCAAAATTTTTTATCGCGTAAGATTATTATTACTGATACACTATAGTTCTTGTCACCAAGTTTTCACCTGGTCCCTATTCAGTCGCGGGAATTGAGTATCTTTTTTTTCCGTGCAACTTTACCACCTACAATACCGCTAAAGTTTCAAGTTTTACGGCGGAAGGAGAGCTCACGAAGGCCATTCTCGCACCTTGCAGAGAACGCTGCCTCCGCCTGTGCTTAAGAAGCGTCTTCGGCACGTCCCGTTTGAAAATGCGCACGGAACACGCGCGTCACAGAGAAAACGAAGTCCGCGCTAATATTTTAATTGGACTTGACTAGTTCGTAAAAGAATTCAGGATTAGCACAATGACGCGATAACGATACTGCGCGTACCGTATCTCGCTGCAGTGCAACAACAATAATAACAACAATACAATAACGTCGTGCATTAACACTGCGGCCGAGTTAATGATCGCGCGCAATCAGCGGTCATTGTAATCGCCAATCAAGCGCGGCGAAGGACCGACACGGCGAGTCGTTTTTCCCAGGCGGCGGTTGGAATTACGTTGCCTTCGCATAACTACCGACGATAACTACGTCCTCCGTGCCGCCTGTGAAGTGCGACAGGGAGTCCCTTCTGCCCTTTCCGCGCCCATAACTATCGGGATGGTGTAGAACGACGTACGAGGAAAGAGAGGATACGGCTGTTCGTCGTTGCTAATGCAAGCAATTATTTTTCGTGAGTCTCGACACGTTCGTAATCTCTCCCGGACGCAACGACCGTTCCGGGAAGAATTAAGATTCGCACCCCTCCTTTCCTCGGTGTCTCTCTCTCCCTCCAACCGCCCTGCCTTCTCTTTACGCTGACCGATACTTCGAGGCAATTTTGTAGAAAAGACCCCTTCTCTCTCGCTCTCTCCTTCTACGTCTCCCGTACAAAGGAGCGACCCGTTACATTCTCTTCGTCGTGGATCGCTTCACGAAGGATGTCTTCGACGGTCTTTGCGATCCTCCTCTTTGCCGGGCGGCTGAAGCGCGCGATCGTGACCGGCCGACCGAGTTAAGCAATTACGGGCAGACCCGCTAATTGAATCGCGGTATCCGCGTCTGAGTCAAAGCCTGCTGCGAATGACTCACGGCGAGTCATCGGCAGCGTGTCGGTGACACGTGTATATCGAACGTCGGCATCCGTCATTCGTCGAAGTTAATTAGTCGAACGCAAACACGCCGCTGCTGTTGGTACCACGCGTGTAGCTCGGTCTTTTCGACGATAGGATCCAGAATTACCGAAGAGAGGAGTGCTGCACGAATCTCGCTCGTGTTAAAATTAGCGCGACAGCGTGAGCTTTTACACAGTCCCGTGGTGCGAGAGCGTATGAGTGTTGCGCGCGCGAAAAAATACCGTACAATCCTGAGATATACGGAACGGAGAGTCGAAGATAAGACAGCCTCTGTCGCGGGGGATGGTTTCGTCACGTGTAATTAACGAGCAAAATCCGAATTGTTAAATTTAGACAGGGCACCGTGTCCTAGAATACCACCTTTACTTTTAACGCGTGTATCCAGGACGCTCGATAAGATCCGATCCTGTCGCTGTACATTTGTCCTTTCAAAAAAGCGCCACGTGGCTCGACGTGTGTCGAAATATTTTATATCAGAATAGCGCCCACGAGGAGGCGCACTGCGACAAAAGCGACGGGAAACTAAGCAGAGTTCTGATGCGTTCAGCCCGAGCTTTGCGTAATGCACGTGAAGAATCAAGTGAAGTACGCGGAAGAGCCGCGTTAGCGGCGATAATTAAGTTGCTTTTATTTCACTTACGTCTACTTGCCTCGTTTTACGATGGTATTCCTACCGAGGTTACCCACCACGCGCATACGGAATCAAAAAGTTTCGTTGAATTTATCCGACAAATGAACCATACGTGTTTTGATTGAGGGGCGCAGAATAGTTATAAGAACTAGAAATTCCGTTTCCTCCGGCCTAAACGCGTTTGGTTTG